GACTTCTTGTTTTTTATGCACCGATTAGTAGTAATCAAGTAAGAAGGCGATTCAAGGATTGGTGGTCCAGTTTAACAACAAAAATGATGAATACTCCGGCGATAAAGAAAACTTAAGACGACGACGGAATAGGAGGAAGATGAAGGGACCGGCGGTCTAGTTTCTTTACTTACTTTTGTAATATAAAAATTAAAAAATATTGGTTCGGAACTAATTCACTGTTTTTGGTAAATATATTTGAAACTACCATGTATTGTAAATAATTTTATGTTTACTATGATATGGTTAAAAACTCAACAAAAGTTGGTGTACGTACCCAGCATCAAAAGGATCATAGGTTCCATATACTTCAAATCCAACAACCACATTTGGATCAGCATACTTGTGTAGTATTCTATGGTGTCTTAAACCATCTCTTTCCGTGAGTTGCTTCAACTCAACGCCATGGTTGGTGGGAAACGATCTTTCCAGCTTCAGAGTCGCCGGAAACCCAAGAGCACCAACGGCCTGCAGCAACACTAGACACAACACTGTCGAAGAAACCATTGGTCGTACAGAAATATAAGAGAAAAGTAATAGTGTTGGAATGAAAAATCGTATAAGAGATAAGTAATATTGTTGGAATGAAACATCATGTGGTGCATTTCATTACAGGGGAAATATATATACATGGAGAAGAAAACTATCAACCAACTGTAAACAATGATGAAATCAATTTCATTACAAAATACTGATTGAGATATTCATCCTAAAAATAGAACTAGGGCTCTTTCAACTAAAATTGGGTTGTGGCCCCACGGTTTGAACTTACATGATATATTATAATTACACTTTTTTGTAGTTACATTTCTCATTTATATAGTTACTATATTTAATTACGATTTTATTTCTTATATATATATATATATATATATATATATATATATATATATATATCTTTGTCAATATATATTGTCAACAATTATAGGAGCGACAAATTGTAAAATGTAAACATTATCAAAAGATTATATAGGTTTATAGAAACACAAAGAAGTAATAAGATATGTTTGCATTAATGGAAAGAATGAAAAATTCATTCCAAGAAGTTGTGTGGAATTATTCTGTATCAAAAACTATCCGTTCTACTAACTAACGCTCCTATATATAATTGTTAAATAAGCATATGAAAGAATCCTAAGTCGAAAGTTCGGAATTAAGAAAATACGCTAAACATTACAACTAGACACAATATATTTTTGAATCCAAACATATATATATATATATATATATATATATATATATATATATATATATATATATATATATATATATATATATATAGTTCAGGTTTAGTTAAGACAATGTTAATTTTATGAGACCAAATCTAAAAATAATTTTAAAATGCAAAACAAAAGGAAAAATCCAAAAACTCTTTTTTTAATTATAATTTTTGGAAATTGAGTTATCTGAAAAAATAACTAAATAAAATTAAAAAAAAATCCCGTTTTATTTTTAAAACACGTGAAATATTCTAATAGAATATTACACTATAAATATTCTAATGTGATCTTTAGAATGTTAGAATATTTGCCAGATATGTAGAATATTCTAATATTCTACTAGAACATGTAAAAAAATGTATTTTATTTATTTATTGTGGTATTTTTTTTGGAAAAAATATATTTCGAACATAATATTGGAAAATTGTTATTTCGAAAATTCTCAATTCTTTTTTATTTTAAAAATGTTTTCGTTTTATCTACTAAATGTGTATCTAGGATTGCATCTCACGGTCTCATAAAATTAGGCCATCTCACATTAATAAATAAATATAAAGAAAATAAAAACTTACATTGACTTCACAAGTGGAGTGAAGACTAGATCGGGCATGACTGGTGTGCCAAAGGCCAAAATCCCACCTCCATCACCACCAGCTAGACAATGTCCAAAGGAATTTGGTGCAATCCCTTGTGATGAAATTTGGGAAATGACGGATATAATTTGTCTGCCCAATCCCATAATCTCATCAAGTGTTCTTTCCGTTTGACTTATCTGTCCTGTTTCGGATGTGCTACAGCTGCTCATGCAAAATTCACTAAATCAACCAACTTATTTAAAGAGAATAAAAGAAGGAAGAGAAATTAAATTCTATAGTTGATGATACATGAGAACTTACCCAAATAAAACTGAAGTTGAAGTGTTCAACCAATCTGTCTAGCCAACAATTATTCTAAAATGCATCAAGTCGGATACATAATAACCTTATGTTCCACTACCAACCCCTTAGTGGAGATCGTAGGTGCATTGGTTATCTGAACATGAGTTGGATTTTGGAGAACATCTTTCGTCCTAGCATAAGATAGCAGAAGATGTTGACGAGTTTGCTGGATCATAGATAGTAATAGGAATCTGTACAAAGAAAGAAATCATATATAAAGTACCAATACTAGTTAATTGAAAAAGTCACACCTTATAAGAAATGATCAGAACATACTTGTAGTGTGGATGATGTAGGGCAAGATTGACAGGGTTTGCAACCGACCCACAACAAGTCGCTTCCTGTATCAATCACTAAATTGTATTCTTTTGCAGGGAATCCTAGCTTTATTTTTGTGTAGTACAAGATACAAGTTAACCAAATTACAACATGTTAAGGAATTGAAGAACAAGTGGCTAAGAACGGGAAAGATTGACTTGTTCACAAAGTCTTTCAAGTATAACTAAAACATACGCAAGTATTGAACAAGTGCAGGTCTTTGTCATCAAAAACTATAAAACGAAACATGAGCTAGAATTTAAAAAACAATTACCAAGAACATCAAATATGACAGTTTTTCCCAAAATACCCCCGATAGCAAAACTCTAATAAAGAAATAACAATTGAAGAATATTTATAACTGAAAACGCTAAACAAAAACACTAGCGTTCGCATCAATGGAAGATCTAGGAAGATATTAAGATTAGCATAACAAGAAGAAACATGCATCTCTTAGTTTGCAAATCTATAATTCCCATACAAGTAGTTTTAGGATTTCTACAAAGAACATTCCTTCGGTAAACATCACAAAACTGTCATGATTAAATGATTAATAGACGTCATATTCCAATTAAAAAAAATAAAAAGAACAAGTTTCATTTGTATTGTAACCCATTAGATGCAGGCGATGATGGTATCTTGGGTCTCCTGTGACTTCTTGTTTTTTATGCACCGATTAGTAGTAATCAAGTAAGAAGGCGATTCAGGATTGGTGGTCCAGTTTAACAACAAAAATGATGAATACTCCGGCGATAAAGAAAACTAAGACGACGACGGAATAGGAGGAAGATGAAGGGACCGGCGGTCTAGTTTCTTTACTTACTTTTGTAATATAAAAATTAAAAAATATTGGTTCGGAACTAATTCACTGTTTTTGGTAAATATATTTGAAACTACCATGTATTGTAAATAATTTTTATGTTTACTATGATATGGTTAAAACTCAACAAAAGTTGGTGTACGTACCCAGCATCAAAAGGATCATAGGTTCCATATACTTCAAATCCAACAACCACATTTGGATCAGCATACTTGTGTAGTATTCTATGGTGTCTTAAACCATCTCTTTCCGTGAGTTGCTTCAACTCAACGCCATGGTTGGTGGGAAACGATCTTTCCAGCTTCAGAGTCGCCGGAAACCCAAGAGCACCAACGGCCTGCAGCAACACTAGACACAACACTGTCGAAGAAACCATTGGTCGTACAGAAATATAAGAGAAAAGTAATAGTGTTGGAATGAAAAATCGTATAAGAGATAAGTAATATTGTTGGAATGAAACATCATGTGGTGCATTTCATTACAGGGGAAATATATATACATGGAGAAGAAAACTATCAACCAACTGTAAACAATGATGAAATCAATTTCATTACAAAATACTGATTGAGATATTCATCCTAAAAATAGAACTAGGGCTCTTTCAACTAAATTGGGTTGTGGCCCCACGGTTTGAACTTACATGATATTTATAATTACACTTTTTTGTAGTTACATTTCTCATTTATATAGTTACTATATTTAATTACGATTTTATTTCTTTAAAATATTACTCAGATATATATATATATATATATATATATATATATATATATATATATATATATATATATATCTTTGTCAATATATATTGTCAACAATTATAGGAGCGACAAATTGTAAAATGTAAACATTATCAAAAGATTATATAGGTTTATAGAAACACAAAGAAGTAATAAGATATGTTTGCATTAATGGAAAGAATGAAAAATTCATTCCAAGAAGTTGTGTGGAATATTCTGTATCAAAAACTATCCGTTCTACTAACTAACGCTCCTATATATAATTGTTAAATAAGCATATGAAAGAATCCTAAGTCGAAAGTTCGGAATTAAGAAAATACGCTAAACATTACAACTAGACACAATATATTTTTGAATCCAAACATATATATATATATATATATATATATATATATATATATATATATATATATATATATGTTCAGGTTTAGTTAAGACAATGTTAATTTTATGAGACCAAATCTAAAAATAATTTTAAAATGCAAAACAAAAGGAAAAATCCAAAAACTCTTTTTTTAATTATAATTTTTGAAACTTGAGTTACCTAAAAAATAACTAAATAAAATTAAAAAAAAAATCCCGTTTTATTTTTAAAACACGTGAAATATTCAATAGAATATTACACTATAAATATTCTAATGTGATCTTTAGAATGTTAGAATATTTGCCAGATATGTAGAATATTCTAATATTCTACTAGAACATGTAAAAAAATGTATTTTATTTATTTATTGTGGTATTTTTTTTGGAAAAAATATATTTCGAACATAATATTGGAAAATTGTTATTTCGAAAATTCTCAATTCTTTTTTATTTTAAAAATGTTTTCGTTTTATCTACTAAATGTGTATCTAGGATTGCATCTCACGGTCTCATAAAATTAGGCCATCTCACATTAATAAATAAATATAAAGAAAATAAAAACTTACATTGACTTCACAAGTGGAGTGAAGACTAGATCGGGCATGACTGGTGTGCCAAAGGCCAAAATCCCACCTCCATCACCACCAGCTAGACAATGTCCAAAGGAATTTGGTGCAATCCCTTGTGATGAAATTTGGGAAATGACGGATATAATTTGTCTGCCCAATCCCATAATCTCATCAAGTGTTCTTTCCGTTTGACTTATCTGTCCTGTTTCGGATGTGCTACAGCTGCTCATGCAAAATTCACTAAATCAACCAACTTATTTAAAGAGAATAAAAGAAGGAAGAGAAATTAAATTCTATAGTTGATGATACATGAGAACTTACCCAAATAAAACTGAAGTTGAAGTGTTCAACCAATCTGTCTAGCCAACAATTATTCTAAAATGCATCAAGTCGGATACATAATAACCTTATGTTCCACTACCAACCCCTTAGTGGAGATCGTAGGTGCATTGGTTATCTGAACATGAGTTGGATTTTGGAGAACATCTTTCGTCCTAGCATAAGATAGCAGAAGATGTTGACGAGTTTGCTGGATCATAGATAGTAATAGGAATCTGTACAAAGAAAGAAATCATATATAAAGTACCAATACTAGTTAATTGAAAAAGTCACACCTTATAAGAAATGATCAGAACATACTTGTAGTGTGGATGATGTAGGGCAAGATTGACAGGGTTTGCAACCGACCCACAACAAGTCGCTTCCTGTATCAATCACTAAATTGTATTCTTTTGCAGGGAATCCTAGCTTTATTTTTGTGTAGTACAAGATACAAGTTAACCAAATTACAACATGTTAAGGAATTGAAGAACAAGTGGCTAAGAACGGGAAAGATTGACTTGTTCACAAAGTCTTTCAAGTATAACTAAAACATACGCAAGTATTGAACAAGTGCAGGTCTTTCATCAAAAACTATAAAACGAAACATGAGCTAGAATTGAAAAAACAATTACCAAGAACATCAAATATGACAGTTTTTCCCAAAATACCCCCGACAGCAAAACTCTGATAAAGAAATAACAATTGAAGAATATTTATAACTGAAAACGCTAAACAAAAACACTAGAGGTTGCATCAATGGAAGATCTAGGAAGATATTAAGATTAGCATAACAAGAAGAAACATGCATCTCTTAGTTTGCAATTCTATAATTCCCATACAAGTAGTTTTAGGATTTCTACAAAGAACATTCCTTCGGTAAACATCTCAAAACTGTCATGATTAAATGATTAATAGACGTCATATTCCAATTAAAAAAAATAAAAAGAACAAGTTTCATTTTGTATTGTAACCCATTAGATGCAGGCGATGATGGTATCTCTGGGTCTCCTGTGACTTCTTGTTTTTTATGCACCGATTAGTAGTAATCAAGTAAGAAGGCGATTCAAGGATTGGTGGTCCAGTTTAACAACAAAAATGATGAATACTCCGCGATAAAGAAAACTTAAGACGACGACGGAATAGGAGGAAGATGAAGGGACCGGCGGTCTAGTTTCTTTACTTACTTTTGTAATATAAAAATTAAAAAATATTGGTTCGGAACTAATTCACTGTTTTTGGTAAATATATTTGAAACTACCATGTATTGTAAATAATTTTATGTTTACTATGATATGGTTAAATACTCAACAAAAGTTGGTGTACGTACCCAGCATCAAAAGGATCATAGGTTCCATATACTTCAAATCCAACAACCACATTTGGATCAGCATACTTGTGTAGTATTCTATGGTGTCTTAAACCATCTCTTTCCGTGAGTTGCTTCAACTCAACGCCATGGTTGGTGGGAAACGATCTTTCCAGCTTCAGAGTCGCCGGAAACCCAAGAGCACCAACGGCCTGCAGCAACACTAGACACAACACTGTCGAAGAAACCATTGGTCGTACAGAAATATAAGAGAAAAGTAATAGTGTTGGAATGAAAAATCGTATAAGAGATAAGTAATATTGTTGGAATGAAACATCATGTGGTGCATTTCATTACAGGGGAAATATATATACATGGAGAAGAAAACTATCAACCAACTGTAAACAATGATGAAATCAATTTCATTACAAAATACTGATTGAGATATTCATCCTAAAAATAGAACTAGGGCTCTTTCAACTAAAATTGGTTGTGGCCCCACGGTTTGAACTTACATGATATATTATAATTACACTTTTTTGTAGTTACATTTCTCATTTATATAGTTACTATATTTAATTACGATTTATTTCTTTAAAATATTACTATATATATATATATATATATATATATATATATATATATATATATATATATATATATATCTTTGTCAATATATATTGTCAACAATTATAGGAGCGACAAATTGTAAAATGTAAACATTATCAAAAGATTTTATAGGTTTATAGAAACACAAAGAAGTAATAAGATATGTTTGCATTAATGGAAAGAATGAAAAATTCATTCCAAGAAGTTGTGTGGAATATTCTGTATCAAAAACTATCCGTTCTACTAACTAACGCTCCTATATATAATTGTTAAATAAGCATATGAAAGAATCCTAAGTCGAAAGTTCGGAATTAAGAAAATACGCTAAACTACAACTAGACACAATATATTTTTGAATCCAAACATATATATATATATATATATATATATATATATATATATATATATATATATATATATATATATAGTTCAGGTTTAGTTAAGACAATGTTAATTTTATGAGACCAAATCTAAAAATAATTTTAAAATGCAAAACAAAAGGAAAAATCCAAAAACTCTTTTTTTAATTATAATTTTTGGAAATTGAGTTATCTGAAAAAATAACTAAATAAAATTAAAAAAAAATCCCGTTTTATTTTTAAAACACGTGAAATATTCTAATAGAATATTACACTATAAATATTCTAATGTGATCTTTAGAATGTTAGAATATTTGCCAGATATGTAGAATATTCTAATATTCTACTAGAACATGTAAAAAAATGTATTTTATTTATTTATTGTGGTATTTTTTTTTGGAAAAAATATATTTCGAACATAGTATTGGAAAATTGTTATTTCGAAAATTCTCAATTCTTTTTTATTTTAAAAATGTTTTCGTTTTATCTACTAAATGGTATCTAGGATTGCATCTGTAACAGCCC